TTGTGAACCTCCATGTGCAGATTTCGTGGCAGGCACAGCACTTTGTGCACCTCCATGTGCAGATTTCGTGGCAGGCGCAACACAAAATGCGTTGTGGAGAGACAGCGAACGCACGAAATGCTGTATTTTTCAATGGAACCGGTGGGAGCATATCGAAACAACCTCGGCTCCAAAACGGCTTAGCAACGGGAGCGAGGCGAGACATGCTCCGTGGGTGGCAATGGGTTTGCATACTCCGTAGCATTGGCGCTGCAAAGATGTAGCAGTCAGGTATCTGACATTTCCTTCAAACGCGGCCAGTCGAGGTTTGGCCGATACATGCAAGGCCCCATGAACTACTCGAAAATAGGTGAGACATAGTGAAACGCCGTTTTTCTAAATCTGTACACTGTACCCATCCAGCGCCACTACACGGGTAGCAGCCTGGGCACTGTCTAACTACTCAGGCCAGCGAGCGCGAAGAGCAGACGAGATTGACTGGCACTCTCAGGACCAACACACGGGTGCTAGTCTAAGAGGCTAGCGTGCAGGTGTTAGTTAGCATTTGCAGACGCTTATGAAAGCGTGTGTTTGTTGGTCCTATTGTTATCATGGTCCTGGTTGCAGGCACTTTCCCGAAGGCACACCTAGGTGCTTCTTTAGTGGGCAGCTCGCTCGTTAGGGTGCTCTAATGAGGTGGCCTCTGCCATGAACAGGGCCAGCACACAGGTGCCAGCAGACAGTGAGACATGGCTGTTTGCAGCTCTAAACTTGTACCCCTAATTGAGGACCGCAAAGGAGTCATCTGCCCATTGACCCTCATCTTTTCGATTGCGTGGCAACCAGCGAACCCGTTGCGGCATATCAAGATTATCACACCGAAGAAAAGCATTGGCCCGAGTGTACGTGCCCCTCCATGTCATACATTTGCCAACTCTTTGAAATTGATTGAGCTGCGTGCAACCAGCAAAGGCACGCCTTGCAATATAGAGCAGTGTGGGTGGAACACTGACCTCCGTTAGAGAGGTGCACTTGAGGAAGGCTTCCTGTTCAATTATTCGAAGTTTGTTTGGAAGCTTCAGGGACCGCAAGTGTTTACAGTGCGCAAAGGCACATCCCATGATTTCTGTGATCCCTGTGCATGAGAGATCCACGAATTGCAGCTGCAGGCAACGTTCGCAGGCTGCTGGTCCAATCCATGTGAAATCTGGCGGCAGGGTCAATGAGGTTAAGCCAGCCTCAAGGAAACAGCATTCTGGCAAAACGCGCGTTAGCCTGGCTGGGTTGTACGCTGACTTTTCCAAATCCAGGTGTCGCAGGGACGTGCATTTCTCAAAAGCTCGAGGCATCAATTCTGCCTGCGGGGCTAATTGATTGGTCGCATCATTATGGGTTCCGATTTGTATTAAGGAGCAGCACTCCTCGAAGGCATGGGCCCCAAACTGCTTGCAGCCTGGGGCAAGCACCGTGCGTAGCGCATAGCAACGACTAAAGGCTCGTGTTTGCAGGCTGATAACTGTACTGTCCAGATGCACAATTTGGAGGTGTTGACAACTGCGCCATGCTCCTTCCCCTATGATGCGATAACCTGCATCGACTTGCACACGCCGAACTTTTGCCACATGCGAAAATGCTTGCGGAAGGACTCTGTCGGTAGTGCCGAAAGGAACTCGTATGGCTTTGGCCTCTCTTTGCATTTGTCCCTTATGCTCAGCCTTGTCAAGACAAGGGCTCATGATGACAGTAAAGCAATTGCACTCTCGCAAGGTATGCCAAATCGGGTCCATTAATCTCTGTTGCGAATTGCGACAGACAAAGCCTAGCTCACAGCCAAAAGTATTGCTTTCTCCTATTTCGGGAAGTTGCTCCAACACTGCATTTTCAAATTCATGGAGGCGGTCAAATTCCTGGAGCTCAATAGTTAGTTGGGTTTCTTCTCCCGCCATTGTAGTTAGGATCAAATGCATTATCATTGACCTTTCATCGCTCCATTGCGAGGTAAACACAGAAATGTGGTCTGCTAGCATGGTGAATAGCCCTCTGCCCAGCAGCATACACCTTTCTTCGAGCCAAAAGGTCCTGCGGCAGCCCCCAGCCTGTCGTAATTTTTTGACGGCAGCTAATAATTGCGAACATGTTCACAATGTTGGTGGGAAGACAACTGCACGGGCAGCCATCAGAGTGCTCACTCCTAGTGCAATTGTGCTGTTTTATCTTCCCAACCCTCACAGAATGTGCGCCTTTGGGTGCCCCGCTTGCTCCGTTCGGATAGATAGCAAATCCCTCCAGGGATGGTCAGTGCCTGACACCCCTCGAATGCATTGGCCGCTACTTGTAGGCGGCATCTGCCATCCTTTGCACTGCGATAGGTGAGGCAAACTAGCTTACTACACTCTGCAAAGACACCGCCGGTTGACCTCTTGGAGTTGGACGAAGAGTTGCTGACAGCTGGAGAGCAATCAGGCTTGCCGCCTGTGGAAGATGAGGAAGCTTCTAGGTAGCTTCAAGGTGACCTTGGGGTTCTGGGGCGAAGCTGGACCGCGCGGAGGCGCACACTGGTGCCAACCGAGGCACTGGTCTTCAGCACCTGCTGGACGCCGACCTGGAGCAGCCTGGGGGCGCCAACAAGCGCAAGGTGGTGGGAAGCGCGCTACAACATGGAGGAGGGCAAGGATCTGGCGAACAAAGAGACCAACTTGGGCCCGACCAAGGAGGTGTACCGAAGGTTCCAAGGTTCGGAGTAAATGCTGGACCGATGGGACAAAATGACCTTGACCGAGCGTTAGAGCGAGTGATGCTGGAAGAGGTCGCCAAGCAGAATGAGTTACTCCTAAGGGAAGTGGAACGGTTGCGACAGATGGTGGAAGAGCGCGACCAACGAGGACAAGTACAAGGAGCACGGCATGGAGTCATGTGGGTTCCAATGACGCCGACTGCTTCACCTGCGCCGACGGTGAGGACTATGCCTGGGGGGACAGCATTTCCAAAGGGAACGCCACCTACCTCGTCTACCGGAGTGGCCATTTAAGGCTCCACTTCTCCCCCCCCACGCTCCCTCCCACGATGGATGTTGCGCAACGCAACCTGGAGAATGAGGGGCGGAGCCTGGATGGGCCGAAGTGGAACGAACAGCAAGTGTGGCAGACACCACCACCGAAAGTGGCAGGCCATGGACGCCGTGGAGAAGTGTTCTGGACTCCTGCAGAAGGTGCTCAACACCTGGGCGCTCAACACCCACCGAGACGGAGCTGGACCGACTACGAGAAGAAGTTCACCTATACTTCGTTGTCGAGAGCAACTCCGTGAACGCCAACAACAAGTTGACCGCCGGATTGGGGGGAGATCTATCATGCTTTGTTGCATGTGCCATCTCTCCACAAATGATGCCCATGGGTCATCAAACTGCCCATTGATCAGGATGTTTCGGAACAGCAGGTAGTGTTCGCGGGTTACGTGCTCCCAACTCATTGGGTGGTCCCGCCTCATATCCGGCTGGTGCGGATAGAGATCCATCATCCGCATCTGTAGGAATTCTTTGAACTCCCGCTCATCGAAGATGTTGCCCTCCTGGACCCGTAGAGCTCTTGCACGTTCCCGTGGGGGTATAGGTGATTGGTCAGCACCACTGCTCGTGACCAGTCCACACCCACATTCGGTATCGGCAGGTTGGCGTAGTCGTCGGGCTCCATAATCACAAGGTCAATCAAATGATTTGGCCGTTCTCGGAGTCTTGGGATCTCCTCTTCTCTTTCACTGAACAACGCATGGAAGTCGTCCAGGTCAGCCGCGTGGACTTCATTGACTCCTGACGATGATCTCACATGGTGATTTGGGCGGTAGAATCTGATTGTCTGATCTCCGCCAGCTCCACCAGGAATCACCCGAAAGTACTCCTCTTCGGGCTCAGCATCTTCTGGTTGGTCCAAGACTCTGTACTCTCTCAGACAACCATTTTCTGGGCCC